GTTCCCTTCGAATGAGTGTTAAATAACAAACATTAGGTAAGACCATGTACCCTGAGCTGCATAAATCTACATAACTCCACAGTACCTTTCATGATCATGATGATGCAGTAAGATACACAAGCCAGCGAGGTGAAGCGAATCACACAGGCCATGATCACTGGTGATGGGTTTCCCTGGCAACTGTTAGGTTCTTTGAAAAACGTCCTCTGTGGTCTGAATTCCACCTAAACATGGTTTCTTGAGAAAAGGAAACACTAATGAGGAAATACTTTCCAACAGGGATCTGCTGCACGATAATGGCTGGCACTGGCTTCCCAGCTGCGCTCACCCACAGGCATGAAATGGTACATTTCAAAACCGCAGACGCAACTTAATGCACAGCTATTCTCAAGCGATGGCTGACTTACACCAGGATTAATTAGCAGACATGAAAACCTAAATAGATGCAACGAAATGCAACTATTATGTCATGTTTACATTCTTACTAATTCGGGAAGGGGAATTGATTGAATGCTTTCTGATACTGTTGATATCAATATTGTCAACCTACATTCATGTTTTCTACTGAAATGCTTTTGAGCAAAGCATGTCAGTGTTACTCAATCATTCCCCTGACAGGCAAACTGGATGAGAGTAAAAGAAAAAGGAAAAAGGCAAAGTTTCTAAATGACCTTGCAATATTAGGATGAGTGCGGGCACTATGAGGACACTATCTGAAATCTACTAGTGGATTGGCTCTTATTTTGAAAGTTCAGACGCTGCCTAGAAGAAAGCACGGTCCTTTCCTTTTCCTTGTGATTTCCCTACCAGCTGGCTCGTAAACCAGTTTGCTGCATTGGTCTTGAGATCATTCATCTTTGCTTTAACAAACACAGATGATTCAGTGTCCTGCTCAAGCACCCTTGTGCATTTGAGGGAGTAGGGCTCAAACCTCTAACACTGCAAACGTTTCAATTCACAACAGCGATACTACTACTTCCCCTGCATCTGGTGTCAGAGGTTACACAGGACCCTGGGCTTGTTTGGAAAGTGTCCATTCACTTTTGATGAAAAAAAAAGTCAACATCCTAATGAGAAGAATTCATCACAAAGCCAGAACTGCTGTGAAATTGCCGTGTAAAAAGGGTTTGTGATCCTATACATTAGCTTGAGTATTGGATTGTAGCATCTGTGTGTCGGTCGGTGAGAGTGTGGGTAAGTGTGAGGGAGGCGTCAACAGCTCCTGGAGGCTTCCACACTGCAGCTGTTGGAGACAAAAAAGTTAGAGAATATGTCGCTGTTTGTTCGATTTGTGTGGGTGCTGATGGAAGACATTTGTTGCTTCTTTTCTAATCAAACCTCCTACGAGCTCGGAGCCGCTTGCTCCGTATGTGTTCATACAGCGTGATGAACACATCAGCTGACTAAATTGAGCATTCATGAGATTATAAAGACATTGCTCAATGTAATGTGCTATGCACTGATAGTAGGAGATGTGATGATGGAGCGTCGCTAATTACTCATCAACGTAATGTTCATCTCACACTTGTTTATAGGGTTAGCCTAACTGGCTGTTGACTGTATTGGATAAAAATCCACAAGGGTCGAACGAGTCTCTGGGCTACAGCACATGTATGAAACCTTTCATATTGGAGCTATAATTTTAAAAAGGAAAACAGTTTCATTAATTGACATTAACATGAAACACAAGTACTCTGCTGTCTATTCAAAAATCTGAAAATATGACGATAATTGTGTTTTCTGTGCTACCCAAAGCAATGTTCAGGTAGATGTAGTGGATAAATGAGAAAAGTAAGAGCTATATACCCAAATGCCTGCATGTTAATGTGAAGCAGGGATGGGAAACTCCAGGCCTCAAGGGCCAGTATCCTGCAGGTTTTAGACATCAGCCTGGGTCAATACAACTAATCCAATGATTTGTTCATTACCGGGTCTCTGGAGAACTTCAAGACATGGGTCGTGTCCAAA